AATCACCGTCGCTTTTTTCGTTTTTAAAAAAATCCTTGTTTTTTTTGACAAACCCCCCCCCCCCCCTCTCAGAAATGATGATTTTCGGTCAAAACATCGATTTTGAGGTAAGCACATGGAAAGATAGCCTGAAGTGTCTACGTTCAGAATCTGTACCGCTTTTAGTTACAAAAGTGTTTTTTCGCGGATTTTGAGCAAGTTCTCTAGGAGCCTCGAAAAACCGGGTCTTCGAATAATAGCCTTTTCCTGGATTCTTATGCAATTAAAAGTTTTCTGAACGCACAGATTTGTAGAGCACACTTTTCTGATCAAAATAAGACTCCGCACAACTCTGAATGACCTTGCATCAAAAAGTTACAGGCATTTTCCTGGAAGTTCTAAAATTGAGTATTTCATACAACGTTTAATACAGTGTTTGCACTATATGACAGTTACACCTGAAGTAGTCTCCCAAGATTTTTTATAGCGGTTTGTCGTAGAGAGTTTACTCTTATTTTGTTTAGAAGAGGAAACGAAACTACATCGTCTGACCGTCTTCGATTTTTGAATTAGGTCTTGATTTTCTATCAAATTGCGGAATTTTAGAAAAACCGGAACGAATTTTCGGGTTTTGGATGTTATTGGTTGCCTTGAAAAGCAATAAAGGCTTAATTGGAAAATCGGCGCCGGTCAGGCCATGTAGTTAGGTGTTTAGCTTAAAACAAAACAAACCCGAACTCTCCAGCTTGAAGTATGTTAAAAATTCTTGGGAAACACTTCAGAGTCCTTTTTGGACCTTGATTTCTGGAAAACTCTTGAACGGTAAGACTTGTAGACAAAAAAATTTTTTCATTCCAGTAACTCATTAAGCCAAACATTTATGGAAAGTTTCGTTAAGATCGGATGTACGGTGTCGGAGATAATGTCGGAGGGGGGGGGGGGGGGGCCGATGTAACCGTATTTACCGGGGGCGGGGGGGGGGGGTGTAACAAAAGGGTGGGGGTGGGCGCTGGACGTTGATGGGCGGTGGGCGCGCAGTCGNCCCCCCCCCCCCCCCCCCCCCCCCCCCCCCCCCCCCCCCCCCCCCCCCCCCCCCCCCCCCGCCCCCCCGCCCCCCCCCCGCCCCCCCCGCCCCCCCCCCCCTTAAGAAAACTATATTACTTGGTAGAGGATTGGATCTTTAAGAAAAAGCTTAAGTATGGACAGATAAAGATAAAGAACTTATTCCAGAAATCCTGAACAGGATATTCTTTATGGGCCACCCGTTGCTAGTCTGACTGTTCAACATGCGAAGTTCGCCGGTGAAAGTAATAGTCTTTCGAAAACCTCCTTTCGAATTATATTATACAATTTACAGCGATGGAGAAAATGCTCTATTGTCTCCTTGCTACCGTCCCGATAGGAACACGGAAGCGAATTGACGCAATCACATTCATATAAATAGAAATTCAGCTGTGGAAAATTACATCTCAAACGCATGAACATGCTTTCAGACCTTCTATTTAGAAAAGTGATGTGTTTGGAAAAAAACAGGCTCCTCTCTTTAATCAATGAATGATTTTTTCAGGTAATCTTTTGTTGTACTGATTTTTGAAACACATAGAGATGGAAATGTTATCAAGCAAAATCAGATGTCTTTGTGTTCTCCCCGATCTTTTTTCGTTGAACTCCACTCAATTTACGAAATAGTCTAAAGCGTTAAACGCACTAAAATCATCGAAATATCCAAGAAAAATAACAAAAAGTGCCTTTTTGGAGTCTTTCGTAAATTGAGTGGAGTTCAATGAAGAAAGACCATGGAGAACTCGGAGACGTCTCATTTTACTTCGAAATATTTGCTCTGTAAGGCTGTTGTTTGGAAAATACTTCCAATCAAATATGAAGACTTGCTTTTCCACAGATCCTATATCTACAACTTTTGATGGAGTTTTTGCACACACCTGATAGATGACTTTCTCTGATACTCAGATCTTTTTTCAGATTAGTTCCAGCTATTACCGTCGATGAAAGACCCAGCTTTATGTACATCAGAAGCTCGATGGTTGGAAACCTAGAACTTCAGTCAACTCTTAGGAGCAAATCAAATCAAAACTGAAGTAGCCTTCAGAAAAAAAATAATGTTTTGTATTTTTCTCTAAATTGCTGTTTTGGTCGGCCAAAGTTAATGCTCGGCAGATTTCTCTGTAACGAGAGGTAAGACCCAACTCACTTTTATTGAAGCTAAAACAAGGTAAAACAGCTCAATTTTAGACTTGCGCTGTGATTTTTTTACACTTTTGAACGTTATACGTCAGTTTCTTCGCTTTTTTAAAGAAACTTTTGAGGTAAAATGATTCGGAAAAGGAACGAAGAAAAAGCTCAAAATTTCAGCTCGTTGGTCGTTACCGTAGCTTAATTTCATACTTTTAAAACCAATCTGAGCTCTTTAGCCAATTTCTGAGAGGATAAATATATTAAACAGTAGATGTTCTATTTGATTTAACAGGGACAACCGAATAACAAACTCGAGCATGAGTCTACACAAAGTGGTACATTTCTCTTCAAGATACTCACCAACTGCGCATGCTAAATCAAAGCTATCTTCGAATTTATCATCAGGATAGGGAAGATATTCCCAAGCATCTTGATGCTGATGTTGAAATGGCGCGGCCAATTCATGTATGATAGTTGTTACGATATTAGTTGACATCTAGAAACGAAAAAATGAGAGTTAAACAAATTAGTCACTCCGTGTTTAAGCTCTCAAAATGAATTAGAAATAGAGATCATACTTCATTGATGGTAAGTTGCTGATCGCAAGAAGAAGTACAGTGAAGACACAGTAGAAAAAATAAATTGAAACTTTGTAAAAGATGATTATTGGTCTGTGTAGTATTTTTCTATTAGCGTAAGAGATTTAAGAGAGCTTCCGTGAGAAACCCGACTGATTCCTGAAGAACTTGACTTGCGATAAAATTTAGATTTGAATCCTTTTCCATTATTCAACAGTCCCATTCAAATAATCACTAACGCTACAATAACTCTTTCTAAAAGTGCTTTTTTAAAAAACTCGAGGCTTGCTTGAAACGGAAATTTTCACAAATTGTTGTATTTTTCGATTTTCTCAAAAACTATCTAATCTCTATGGTGGGTTCATGACTCATGTGAAAGAGGGATGTTTACTGTATAAGATCATATATTTAGACATAATAATATGTTTAACTATCTAGGACTACCCAATCCACTCTATTAAGTAGGCTAATTTGTGCGAAGCTCCTTATGTATGAATATGGAAATAGAGAAGCAATAGTATTATATATGGAGGATCCGCTGGGAGATGGATACATTTTATTTTCTTCCAAACTCGCTTACACACGCTAAGCAACGTGAGAATAACTATATTTGCTCCTACAATCACTAAGTAATGTGACTTACTTTGCATGCTGTTGCTCAGATGAAGAACGTGACTCGCACTCTGCTTATAATTCAGGATGAAGTTCGTTAAGACCTGGCCCTACGTGAGCCGCTCAACATATAGTTGGGGACGAAGTTTCATCTTTAAATCGAAAGATCTGGACAAGTTGTCAATAAGTTAAGCATAGAATTGATAAATTTATGTAGTTCTATTTTGAGCGAACTCTTGTTTAATATTATAGACAAAATAGGGAAATGTGCTTCTTTCAAAAACTTCGGGAGACTGCAGAAAAAGACCATAACTCTATAAGAAGAATGAAGAGATCTGCCTATTAAAGTACTGAACATATTTCTGAATGCTTTAAAAATAACGGAATATTGGGATAAATAGTGCGAAGTTTCAGTCTCAATTACTTCCCGATCCAAAGCACAGTTTTGTCAATTTTAGCCTTGTTATTTAACAGTATAAAACTAGAGAAGATAGCCATTTTGTAACACTCAAAAATCTATGAAATGACACTATTTTGAATTCTTTATCGTCACAAGTGATGGAGAGCTAATTTTTCGCTTTTTTGATTTTAGAAAGAAATCATCATTTTCAAATTTTGTTGTATCTCTAAATCTAACATACTTTTCACCATATTCTTTTATTTTTAAGGGATGTGGAAAAGTGTTTAGTGTGTTTTTCGTAGAGAATCAGATGACGCATCTTTTAAAAGATATTCAAGCTTTATATAGCATATTTCTGGGCTGATATATATTCAAAACAAAAAGCGACCAGTAGTTTTGGAACACCCAATATAAATACTATCTGTCTCTTTCTGTTTGAATTTTTATTATTGTAAGTTATCTTTTTGTCTATGCTATATTTTCCATCCGGATAATGACTAAGAATTCATGCACGTTCAGAGATACGGACTCCGAAAAAACCTTGCTTGAATTTCATTCAGATTATTTCGGGTGACATCGTCTGAAGCCTCTCTCCATAATAGCACCGACTCTGCTGTGGAAAATATGGTATAATAAAGGATAAATCTGCATACGTACGTTTTAGACACAAGTAGATAGATATGATGCGTCTTGTACCATACACTAGATTGTAGATACCATACACTTTATCACTTAGAGTGTCACTTCGTCACTTGAAGTGAAATTTTTCCCTCTAGCATAAAAGTCCTCTCTCCTCTTTTGATCTGATTGCACAATTAACAACGCGTCAAAACAAAAACAATGTTCTCGATTAGGCCACGATAGTCGCGTGTTTATTCCTCATTTAATGTCAAAATCTGCATCTAGCTCTTTTCTTCCGCAAACATCAAAAGATTGAAATGAACTGTCATCTGTTTTAGCCGTCAAACTTCTGTAGCCACATGCAAAAATATGCTGAGAGATTACACACGCTTTTATTAATGTTATTTTGTTTACTTATTTATATCTTTAAATTTTTATTTTTAGGTTATCACAGGGTATCCATCCACAAATGCCACAAGTCTTTTGTTCTTTTTTGTAATATCCTATCCTTGAGTAAAATAAAACCTTATCTATCTTATCACAACAAAATATCTAGATGCTTCACAAGATTTCTTACTTGGACATGTGGTAAATCTAATCTCCAGAATCGGGTAAGATATTATATTTAGATATATCGACTACTTTAATCAATTAACTAGCTTGGGTTGTTTAATACTCAATACTGTCTTTTTACTTGTATCTAGGTCTATCGAGTATTGGATTGGGTTACCTAAATAGAATTGCCCAATACTCGATACTTTTTATTTGCTTAGACAATGCCTGCTTATTAGCTGATTTTTCTTACTGGTTCTTATTTCAATCAAAAAAAAATCTGTGCGCTTATAATTTTACTACAGAAGTATTATTACAGCAAAAAAAATCATCAAGAAAATCGTAGAACACTGAAAAACAGAAAACTTTTTTACTAATATAGCGTGTAGTACGCAGAACGATGCTCGTTTATGCGTGAAAACGAGCATCAATTATGACTATTACACTACAGCGAAATTCCACAGTTTACTTTTAACCATCATACTATCGAAGAAGACTTAATGCAGATTCAGAATGCAATCTGACAATCAAGTGTTTGTTGAGAAATGTAATCAGCAAAACCACCATCGCGCAAAATACCTGCAGTCATAAAATTTTTGTCCTGATCGAAAATTAAGCAATCGCTATAATCAACGCTGTATTTTGGAGATGAATCATCAGCTACTAATATTGCATAGAGCGAGAGTAAGAAAAAAGCAGTTTATTATATATCGGTTGAGTGCATACATCACATGCACAAAAGAAGCAATATCACGTTATTTCAATAACACATTATTTTGATGGTGTACTTTAATGAATGTAAGTTAAAGATTTTATTTCAAAGTATGACTTTTTGACAATGTAATAAATATTTTTGTACTATCAATCAGTAACTGTGACCCTTGAAAGTTCAATGTATGACTTATTCGATGCATGCTACTTCGACAAGTAACACTCTTTATTATTGCTCTAACTACTAGATATACAGTATCGCAACCAGGATCTGGATTAGAGACCTGCACGGGTTAAGAAAACCTAACCCGAACCCGACCCGACTGCCAAAATGCCGACCCGCACCCGACCCGACCCGATGAAAACAATCTCACCAGATAACTTTGTTTGAAAAAAATATAGACTTGTCTTGTTAGACAAAAGTTTTTCGGTGCATATTG